GCCCAGAGTCCCTGGGGAGACGTAATGTATTCCACTCTCAGTGGAAGAGAGATGGGAGTGAATATTTGCTGAACAACAGTCTAAATAAACTATCATATTACCCCCAAACTATTAAACCCACACGTTTATTAACTGCCTCATTCTTAAATATAAAAGGATAGCCAAGTATTACCCTGTATTTGAGGAAAACCTACACCATAATGGAGAGTCCAAATCAGATAAACAAGAAAGGAACCTGGAGGAAACTGAGGCAACATATAATGAGCAAAGGAAAACATTTAAATACTGTATATTCTAATAGGTAAGATATTATATTCATAGATTAAAATTAGCATGCTATGTCAAAAAGTGTCAATAAAAAGAAATAGCTCATAGAAATACAAAAGGAGTAGAAAATTTTCTTAACATTCAAAATGAGGTGTCATCAGTCAAAGAAATCTTTCAGAAGTTACAATCAGAAGACAGAGATGGAAAAATATAAGAAAATGAGATAATCAATCCAACAACTAATGTCCTGGAGCTAAAGTGTATGGCATCAAAATATTTTAAAATAGTAGAAGAAAACATTCTCAAAGTGAAAAAAAAATAAGCCTTCAGATTGAAAAGGACTCACTGAAAACTCTGCACAAAGAATGAAAAACAGCTCCATTCCAGGATTCAGCATTGCAAAATTTCAAAATGACAAGGAAAAAGAGATGACTGTAAAAGTTTCCAGAAAGAAAAAAATATAAATCATAGACCAGGTACTAAGAATCAGAATGGTACAGGGTTTTTCAGTTGTACTATTAGGATCTAGAAGACAGTGAAATAGTTATTAAAAATCCTGAATGAAAACTAATTCAAAATAGAGTTTTATACCCAGCCAAACAATCAAGTGTATGCATACAGTAATAGCATTTTATGGCATGTGAATACTCAAAAATGTGTTTTTCGTGTACTTTTTCTTATGAAAGCTACCTGGAGATAGCTTTCATACCAAAAAAGGGAATAAATTGAGAAACATGATGACTTATGACCCAGAAAACAAAGAACTCTAAAAGAGTATGGAGAAGGCTTGACACAAGATAGAGATCAACCAGGCCATACATAAGGTGCCAAGAGGGATATATCCAGAAAATTTTTTTTAAAAGAACTTATACTTTATCTAATATGTTTGGTTATTTGAAAAAAATACTGTTGATGGTTGTTTAACAGATATGTTTGAATATTTGGGGAAAAATGTCAGTTATCTAGAAAAACAAACTATTAAAAAACTAGGCAATTAATTCTAGAAATAATAAAATGATATGTAAGAAAGTTAATTTAAACAAGAGAATGCTTTTCTCAGTAGTGAGCAAATTTTTCATAATCATTATAATGTAAATGAACTACTGACTAATGCTTTAACCAAAATCATTATATGGGAGCATGAGGTGGGTATGTAGGGTGGGTGGTACGAGACCTAAATTGTCACCCTTCTTCCCATAAGAAAGGTCTAATATTGAAAACTTAAGAAATAGCAATATAAGTTTGTCTTTTAAAAATATGAAGATAAACATCAGAAGAGCTAATGGTGTGTGCCATTGGAGATTAGGTTTGAAATAGGGAAGGTAGGTCATGGGCACTGCTGTTCCTTGTTATGAGCCATTTAGTACTATGTGACTTAAATTAGGTGCATTACTTTGATGGGCAAATTTAATCAACAATAAAAATAAAGTTACATATGCCCATGATTAAGAAAAAAACTTCCTACAATGTGGAGGGATATAAATGAACAGCATCAAGTCTCCCCTTTTCCACATTTGATCCCCAGTACTGTTTTCTAGCAGTGATCACTTTTAATAGTTTCTACTTTGAGTTGTTCTGGTGGTTATAGTCATGACTTGAAAGATATCTTTTGATAAGGTGTAAAGCTAGCTGGACCTGCCTTTGCCCAGTTAGCCAAAAGATGGCCACATCAAACTGCACTGTAGACATGCAGGTTAATAGTGTGCTTTGAGAGTAATGTACGATTGGCCTATGGCTATGGTTGGTCTTTCATCCCCAAGCTACTATATACAGCCAGGGAAGCAGCTCTGACCTAGTTGGGTGAGGCAAAGGGTTATCCTGCCAGTGGGAGCATGGCATTTCTGGCAAGAGATTTCTCTTCTAACGGTCGGACTTGGTGCCATGGCAGATTTTCCTGACTCAGGGAGTAAGTGTTGAGCCCTGGTCCAGCTGGTTAGATTATTTGTTGATTTTGATTATCTGCACCAATAAGCTCTTTCGCTGGCATGGATAATCAGAAGCAGGCAGTGATTTTCCATCTTCCTAACAAAAATGCATTTCACATTTTGAAATTACAATAGATGAAGTTTTATTCAGTTTTCACCAAAATACCGCTTTATTGAGAAGGGGGAAGTTTTATGAATTGAGGACTCTTTAGAGAGAGTCATATATTCTTAGGTGGGTCATTTTTTCTTACCACTTTTCTGTTCTTGAAAGACAAAGGGAAAAATCAGTAATAATGATATTCGCTGTCTTTTATTCAGCTTTTACTGTGTGCTAGGCACTCTGCTAAGAATTCTCAGCCTAATTTAATCTTCACAACAGCTTTAGGAGCTTGTTATCACTCCGATTTTGGAAGGAAGAAACTATATAATAGTCTAATGACTTGTCCAAGGTCACAGAAAAGTGCCAGAGCTGTGTCTGGAGCCCTGATCTGTGATGGCTGTTAGACCCATGTTCTTTACCTCTGTGTTTGGACTGTCCTGCAATGCAACCCTTGACTTTTTATTCCATGAGAAAAAGAAAGCAGCTAATTTTACTTAAAATCTAATTCCAGTGTAAGGTACATACGTTGTTATTGTTGCATAGTGCTTACAAAAATTGTATCTTTTCTTTTTAAAAAAAAAGTTTGGAATTTTATACATTTTCTGTTTCTGTCATTCTTTTGTCTTCTCTCAATTCAAAATTCTGGAGTCATCTTTGGTCTTCCGATTCCGCTCCTTTTACTTCCATAAAATCAACATATTCTCTTTGTATTTCTGTTTTAAGTCCTTCCACTCCTCATGTCTGGAATACTGCAATTATCTTTTCATGGTCTTCCTTCTGCCATTCTTTGCCACCGTAAGTTGATTGTACACATTGATCCAGTTTTCTCAAGCTCAGCCTCTGTCATATTGCATACCTGTTTAAACCATTAATGTCACCCTATGATCTATAAGAAAAAGGTAGTGTTATTAATCTACAATTAAAGAGCTTTCATGTGATCGAAAGTATCACTCCAGAGCTTTTGTGCCCTCACTTCTTTCTCACTTTTCTTGTTCATGCTAATATATCCCTCATCTGGCTACTGAGGCATGAATTTTCTCTATAACTCAGTTGGTGTTTTTATATGCTTTGCATTTTGATAGTCTTCTTGTGTATATATGTCTCATTTACCCAGATGAATTATAAACTACTGAATTTAGAGATGGGAACTCTGAATTCATCATATTATTTAGTATAGTTTCTTGCATATAGGACTGTGTAAGAAAATTAATGAATTAATTTTTGAAGTTTTAAAGTTAGCATATCTTTCCAATTCTATAGTTCTTTGCTTTTGTTAATTTTATAAAGGTTAAACAATACACATTTAATACTCTTTATTTATTTTTATCTCTTTAATTATATTTAATTATGAAATTGGGAATATATGGGTTTAACTTTAATAACACAATATTTTAAAGAAACAAGTCAGTTTAACTTAGTATTTCAATTGAAAGATACAGAAAATCTACACTGAATGAAAATGATATAATTATTTCATAGTTTTTCAAATAAACCCATATTTGAGAACTGTACTAAGTTATTATATTGTTGGTTAATGTATGGTTTTGATGGAGATAAGCTGAATATTTATACTGTTATGAATACAAGAAAAAGTGTAAATGAATTATTTAATTTATCCTACATGATGTATTAAATGCAGTTGGAGGTTGTTCAGAATATTGAATAAGGACATGAGAAAATTTGGAAGTTTATTTAAATACTAAGTTTAAATCCCTCTACTTACACATAATTTTGTTTTCCAAAAGGAGGTTGCATTTTTTCTGTATCAAATTTGTTTCTTGCTTTCTGCTGAATTTGAAAATATTTCTGCCCTTTCTTTTTTTTTTTTCTTGTTTTAATAGCCTAAATATTTTTAAAGGTTCATCTTTTATTTTCTTTGACTTAATTTTACAGATGTTCTATTGATAAATAAATATTTCTACTTTAATATATAAATTATTTAAAATTATGGCCTATATAAGGTATTTTTGCTTTGAAATATTTGAGTTTCAGTAAGATAAGGATAATTTCACCCTGAAACCAAAAAATAAACCTTCATATATTTTCATATTTATTAGTCTTAGAGTGTTCTTGTTGACTTTTAAAATTACAAATTTAAATGGAAATATTATTTTAGCTCAGAAATCTCATACACTCTCAATGCTTAAATTTCTCATGCTGTTTTTTTTCCTGGATTATTTTTTCCAAGTAATATTGAACATCATAATCATGCCATTTTTTACACCTCACAATTTTCTAAAAATCTCTTAAATTATTTATTTTACCTTTAATTTGGGTTTCAAAACACCCAAATGGAGCCATAAATTTATCTTTTAGAATAAAAAGTACATACTTGATGTAAATCACTGCATGTGTCTGATTGAATCTCACACAAAAATGTTACATTTTAAAGGTAGTCACATTTTAAGTAAATATTACTTTTTAAAGGGAATAACTCTTAGAGTGAAAGTGCAATTATCCAATTTGACTGCTCTCATTTAATCATTTCAGTTTTAAAATTAGACTTCATTTTACAATCCAAAATAAAATCTTACTCATGTGCATTTTTGGATGTGCTAATTCCTTTTGTCATAAAATGGAAGCTAGCCTAAATTTTCTAATAATTTTTTATCACATTGAAATTCATGGCAAAAAACTAAAAATGAGCTAATTTTGAATTCAAGTGCATGTATTTTATATGGATGCTTTTCCCCTTCTCTCTACCTAAGGAAATAGAGAAATTGAGAATAGAACTGGGTGAAAGCAAACAACACTTGGAACAGGAGCAGCAGAAGGCAGCCCGGGCCAGAGAGGAGTGCCTGAGACTAACAGAACTGCTGGGCGAATCCGAGCACCAACTGCACCTCACCAGGTACTCCCTAATCCCATTATGCGCCATAGCACCGATTTCATTCCACTGATTTTTGCCACAGGCTTCCAAACAGTTGTTAGAGTTAGTCTTAGTCATTCAATTCACACATAGCTTTCAGGCATATTAAGAAAAGTGGAGATGTGGTAAGCAAAACACCCAGACATGTGAATGATAAGTGTGGCAGGGAATTACTGATAGATTACAAAACCTTTCATCTACAATGCTCAAATATTTAGGTGATTCTCTATCAATATAAGCAAAATGACATATTTCTCCTACCACCACTACTACCTCTTCTGCTAATTCTACGTCTAATAAAAATCTTGAACTGAAGGATGTGAGGAATTTATTTAGGAAAATAATAAATACTCTCGGTGAGAGAGACAAAGTAAATAAATTGTAAGATGCAAATTGAAATGGAACTGATACGAAATAAGGAATCTGCATCCTAAGGAGGTGTAAAATTTCGAGATGAAATAGATTGGCACTGCTCATGTTCAAATCATTATTATAACTGGGCTTACACCATTGAGATTTTAGATTACTTTGTTTCCATCATGAGATTTTGTGATGTGATCATCATTGTCATCAACTTTAGTAAATATGTAGCTCGGCCCTAAATTACATTAAGACTCTTTAGGTTGTAAGCATTGTGAATTTGCTGCATTGGAAAAACATACACACACACACACACACAAATACACACATAGAAAGAAAAATTCAAACAGAGAGAGTAGATATTTCACTTTATCATATGTGGTTTCTTTTCACTTTGAGTTTTATTACGATTTTTCAGTGTTCACATCAAGCCTTTGGGGTTGCTCAGTTCTTAGAGTTTTTCAGTTTTTAGAGAGAACTTTGTTTAAATAAACATGTAAGTTTATGATATTTGGTTTGGTTTATAAATTAGAAAAACACTGGTCTTCCAATCATAGTAATATGTTGAATTTAAACTATGAAAGGGGACTGATCCCTTTTACATTAAATATGACAATGTAATTCTGAGCACGGTATGCTAACAGATGGAGAAAAGCACCACTTGAACAGCCTGCATTTGGAGAAAAAAATATTCTAGAGGTTGGTGAACCTCCCAAAGTTTTGGGTGAGTGTTAAGATGCCTCTGGTTCTGTTAAAATCAAACCTTGTACGAAACATTTTGTTATGATAATATTCCAAATGATTTTACATCTTCCCTTTTAAACAATAAAAGAAAGAGGAAAGAAAGAGAAAGCAAAGAAAGAAAATACATTATTTATACACGTATGGTATCTAGAAAAAAATCCTAATAGATGAAACATATGAGAAAAAAATTGCTTAATATTGCAGAATAATAACTGTTCTTTTAATGCTCATTTAAAGTATTGTCATTGTAGAACTGAGAACCTAATGTTAGCATAATTCCTGTGGTTATTTAATCTTACAAGCTTCAGAATTGAGCTTCATCATGGTAATGTTAATAGTTTTTCTCTTCTGTCAGACTTCTATTCAGAACCAACCATTTGTGTGCTAAGCACTGCTAAACCTCAGAACTAGGACGGCTTTTAACGTCTCAGTGTGGCTGGGCTTCAGTAAATAAATATTAATGCTGGTTTTGCCCCTTTTGCCATTCTGTCTTATTCAGAGAGTTAATTTCTGAAGTCAGAGTCCATAGAGAGTTTTCCCGTGTAGTATCAATTTGTAGTGTTTGACAAGATCAATTTCTTGCAAGTAGAGCATATTAAGATGCAGCAACTGCTGAAAATGGACGAGTGGTAACTAATTCCTTTGTTCTTAAGAAAAACGGTTTTGCTTGGTTCCATAGAAAGCTTTTTTTTGTTGTTGAGCTTTATTTAAACCAATTCTACAAAAATTTAAGCGTAGTTTTACAGGAAATAAAAATTATTTTCTAAGTACGGTACTCTTTTGTAAGCATTTTATGCTGAGTCTGTGTTCATGTTTTATAAAATCCACATTCATAAATTTAAAGATGACAATTAGAAATGCAAGGAACTGTGTATATCTGCCCTTTGCACTGGCAATGTGACTTGGTTGTTGGGCTATTTCTGCTATATAGCACTTTTTTGTCTTTTTGTTTTTTGTTTTTTAAGTTTGCCACCCCTCACCATGCTTTATTGATTCAGTATACTCAGGTGTGTGACTGAGAAATGTTGTGTCGTTCTTTTTCAGTGTAGATCAGCTGAAATACATAACTCCCACACAGATAACACCTTACCACACAGTCTCAACTTAAACACTTCAAATGGCATATTCTAAACAAAGTTTAAAATTGAATATGAAAACCATGTTTAAAGTAATGATGAAATGAGGATCCAAATCTTTAGAGGCAAAGAAAATTCAAAAAGTGTAGTAGAAATCTGTACATCAACCTAAAAGAAAAATAGCCTACCACTTTTTTGGTGTTTCTCCTTATTGGATTTTAAAATAGTAAATGGAGGCCAAGCGCAGTGCTCACACCTGTAATTCTAACACTTTGGGAAGCCAAGACAGGGGAATCACTTGAGGCTAAGAGTTCGAGATCATCCTGAGCAACACAAGGAGACCCCATCTCTACAAAAAACAAAAAATATTAGGCAGGCATGGTGGTGCACCTATAGACCCAGCTATTTAGGAGGCTGAGGATGGAGGATCACTTGAGCCCTGAGGTTCAAGGCTGCTGTGAGCTATGATTGCACCGCTCCACTCCAACTTAGGTGACACAGTAAGACCTTGTCTCAAAAAAAAAAAAAAAAGGAAAATAGAAATTTAGCATTAATTAAAGGACCCAAATGGGTGAGTATAACATTCACTTAGTCAACAAATATTTATTGAGCACCTACTATACTTTGCTTGGTCCTAGGCATAGAGAGAAAAAATAAAACTCAGTTTCTGCCCTTAGATTGCTCATACTCTAGTAAAGAAGCCACATCTGTATATTCAAATATAATGGAGTGTGACAACAGTGCAATGATAAAAGTGATGATTACCACAGGAGCACATAGGGAGGAGGTCTGGCCCAGTCTGCACCAGAGGTGAAGGCAATAGTCAAGGAAAGCTGATATCAGGGAAAGCTGACAGTGAGAAAGGGATAGTCAGGGAGGTGGAGATATTTGGCAGCAATCTTGATTAGTGAGTTCATGAGTAAGAATTCTGAAAGTGGAAAAAGGTGGGTTGGGGACCCCAGGTAGAGAGACCAATAAATACAGAGACATAAAGATGGGAGAAAACATAACTCTACTATCAGATTAGGTGATTGGTAGGAGATAAGACTGGAAAGGGGAAGCAGGGACCAGCAGAAGAGCCTTAGGGGCCATCTCCGGAGTTTCGCCCATTCTCAGTTGCTCTTGATGCATTTTAAGCAGGGGTGTCAACGTGATTGAATTTCTGGGTTGGGAGCTTGACTCAGAGAACAGTGTGGATAGTGAGCTTTGAGAGTTGATCTAGGAGACAGAAAGACCAGTTAGCCCAAGGTCAGCAATTGCAGCCAGTGGGCCAAGTCTGACCTATCGTCTGTTTTTGTGTGACCATTAACCAAGGATGGTTTTTATATTTTTAAGTGGATGAAAAAAAGGGAAAACAATATTTTTTGACACATGAAGATTATACATCCATAAGTAAAATTTTATTAGAAAACGCCACCATTATCCTTCATTTATTATGTATTTCTCTACCACACTTGGGTTGAATATGGTCCTCAAAGCCTAAAATATCTACTATCTGTCCCTTTACAGAAAAAGTGTACCAGCTTCTCAGTTAGGAGGCTGTTAGTTCAAGTAAGAAGTCAAGAGGGCTTGAATAATGACAAGATTCAAATATGTATTTAAAGAAGGTAATTGAAGAGCTTTGTGAAAAATGGATGGGTTGAGAAGAGATGACTGGCAGGGACCCCAATTAGAATATAAGCACCATAGTCCAGAGGGAGAGTAATGAAGCCCTTGGCTATGGCTGTCCTGTGAAGTGGAAAGGAAGTCGCATCTTTAGGAGGTATTTGGAGTCATGAATAAGAGAGGACAGAATTAAAGGTGGCTGTAAGTTTTCTAACCCAAGTTGACTAGAGGATCTGTTAAGCCAACTGAGGAACTTAAAAGAGGTAGCTGAGGAAAAGAATACTTTTTATTGTGCAACCCCAGTGGAGATGTCCAATGTTGGCTTGGTGTGAGGAGAAAGGTCATGACTAGAGGCTTAGATCTGGATCCCCTTTTACATAAATGTATTCATTGTAGCTAAGGGAGTGGTTAAAAGCACATAGAAAGGACCATGTTTTAAAGTACAATGGAAGAACAGCCACCAGCCAGTAAGACTGAAATGGGGTCTTTGGATGTATAAGAAAAGAATAAAGAAGAATGATTCAAAGAGTATTTTTTGGGGGGTGGGGGGCGGTAACAATTAAAACCGTATGCTTTCCCAGACAGCCTAGGATTGAAGAAACTTGAATTATAGTATCTTCTCTAGGCATTCACTCCAGGATTTCTTTGCAACTTTTGAGAAATTACTTTAACTCTTTGGGCCTGCTTATGTACCTATAAAATGAGGTGGGACTAGATGATTTATAAGTTTCCTTCTAGTTCTGATAATCAATGATTCAATCATGATTTAAGAGAACCCATTATTAACTTCCTATTTCTAGACGTTAGGCATTTAAATTGCTTGGACGATCTTTTGTTTAAGTTATTTTCTTAGTTTGAAGTTTAGAAAGTTCATTGAAATGACCCTCAGACCCACCACTTAAATTCATTGTAACTTAGGTTCTGCTGACCTCTCACAAAGGTTATCAAAATTGTCTCAACACTCTTCCAGTCTCTTTTGCTGACCATTGCCCAGTGAATATTCATGAGCCTCTGCCTTGACTCTGTTACTTACTATACTCCGAAAACCTTCCATGGTGCCGCTCTATTAGAGAAAGGCAAATGACAGCATGGCATGCGAGGTCATCCTGATAGGCTCTCAACCTTCCAGTCTTATTTCATCCAAGATGAAACCCTCTTACCTGCTGATTTCCAGACAAATGTAAGTACACACAGCTC